AGTATTCACAATGTAAAGTACATTATCTAAGAATACTATAATTTAACGCTACTTATTATATAACAAATAACCTGGTTGATCCTTTCTAGTGTATGGCAACAGTATTCACAATGTAAAGTACATTATCTAAGAATACTATAATTTAACGCTACTTATTATATAACAAATAACCTGGTTGATCCTTTCTAGTGTATGGCAACAGTATTCACAATGTAAAGTACATTATCTAAGAATACTATAATTTAACGCTACTTATTATATAACAAATAACCTGGTTGATCCCTTCTAGTGTATGGCAACAGTGTTCACAATGCAAAGTACATTATCTAAGAATACTATAATTTAACGCTACTTATTATATAACAAATAACCTGGTTGATATCTTCTAGTGTATGGCAACAGTGTTCACAATGTAAAGTACATTATCTAAGAATACTATAATTTAACGCTACTTATTATATAACAAATAACCTGGTTGATACCTTCTAGCGTATGGCAACAGTGGCTTAGATAATGTACTTTACATTGTGAATTTTTTTATTATTTAGGGAGCATTAATAATAGTTATGTTTTTAAAAGAAAAAAACTACTGTTGTTATAAATAACACATTCAATTGAACTAAACTATGCATGCCTATTTAAATATATTTACACATGGCTTGTGTATATCGTATATATACATATATTATTCATACCTTCGGTGTATAGTACGCAAGCAGATTTTGACATCAAATTTTGGGGTAAAAAAGTGCGTCTTATACACCGAAAAATACGGTAACTACAAAGGAAAAGTATATTACAGGTTCGACTACTCAGTGTATAATATTGATATTCAAACCGTAAAACACAGCGCATCTATCTTTCAAACAATATATCATTAAAAATTATTTCTTGCTCATATACTCAGAATATTGACACTAAACTTACATAAAGAAGAAACGCTTTCTTGCAGAAAGGATTAATATATCTTTGGTGGTATTATTTATCGTAACCATATTCTTATTATTATTAATATTCTTATTATTAATGCCCGATCCTCTTATTAAAGTTTGCTGATTATGCTGCGAATATATTTGCAATGGAAGAAGTAATTCACTTTACCAGCACTAGAATGTTTAATAAAGATAAAAAACGAGATTAGTGATTTATTGTTTTTTTGACGTTATTTTAATATTAATTCAAGTAATCCAATTAGAAATATTTCAGAAAAGCAGTTACTTGCTTCGTAGATAAAGACACAATACGGTAACAATTTATTGAATGAGATGCACAATAAATGTATCAATTGCACCAAAAATATTGCCTAAAGTGCTTTTAAGTATTCCCTTTGACATTTGATATTGTCTTGCAATATAGTTTGTTTGAATTTCGGGCTAAGCTACACGAAGGTTATCTGCGCTGGCCGTCCCTAATTTAGCAGTGAAAGACTAGAGTGAAGACAGATCTTAGGCTACTCTTTTACCACCGTTACATTATAACGCTCACACGGCTGAAAGGGCGAGCATGTTTGGTGAGATGGGGATTCGATCACGTGCCCTTCAGATTGCCTTAACCACCTGGCCATGCTGAGCTGTTAAACTTAAACCTACAGAATGGAATGTCTGTGTTCTGCTCCTAGCGGATATCGAAACCTGATTTTCAGCGTTATAAGCCCTCAGACTTACAGCTGATCCACCAGAAGGCACGTGTTTCGTATTTTAATATTTTCAACAGTTACTTGTGTTTTTCAACACATGTGGCAGGTAGAATTTTCTGTAATCTTTGACCATATGTTTCACATTCGTATTTTATTTATTAGAGTCGATTCCCAGTTTTGTGTTTTGCACAATAAATTTTCTAGAAGGAAGCTAATTATTATTTTTTCAACAAAATTTAATTTCTAAACTTCGTTGTTTGGGAACACGACTAAACAAAGTGAAAGGTAGAATGACTCGTTTGATGATAATAAAAAACGTTAAATAAAATAATATAAAAAAGACGAGATGTTCCACTACATTTGTCGTATTCCAATAATCGGTTAAAAGATTCTATAAGCTGACTATCTATTTCTATCCACTGTTTAAAATATTATAGGTAATTTTCGGTAAGGCTGAAAAACACATAAAAATATTTTCCGCCTTTCTATGATGTTAACTGCCGAAATAAAGTACTTTACATTGTGAACACTTTTCCATACACTAGAAGGTATCAACCAGGTTATTTGTTATATAATAAGTAGCGTTAAATTATAGTACTTAAATTACAGTGAAAGTAAACTAAATAACAGTAAACCTTTTTTTGATTTACGATATTTTCTTATTTTGAGCTCTTTTGTGTTTAGAGCAATATATATACTAATCTTTAAAGTATCAAACTGAATTTTTGTTCACTAAAAATCTTTCAAATGCGACTGTAGCTTTTTTCCCCCAAAACTTTGTCTTCAAAATAAGGGTGCGTCTTATATTCCAAAAAATACGTCAAGTTTGAATTTTTTTTCAAAAACCAAAAATAATTGATGTACAAGTGAAAAAGGGATAAGCTATTTTTTGGTTATTATGTGTAGCAAGATAAAAAATGATGCCATGAGTTGTTTCATAATGAATTTCACATCTTAATACTAGAAATAAATGGCCTTATAACACCAAAATATTGCTTTTATTTAATTAGACACTCAACGTTTTGCTTTACAGCTTCTTCAGCAGCATTCACTAAAACACAAATTGAAACTGACAGTTCAAAGCTTCAAATTATAAAAAGTACTTACTAGGTAAACATCACATAGCTCATACAACCAAAAGTTGTAGCATGCTGTTGTGGCTGTCTGAAAATCATATGTTTCAAATCCATGGTTACACTGCTCTACTGCTACAGTCATTCTGCTCAGTATCCATCTGTCCATAGGTTGCTCCTGCCCTGTTAGCTAATACATATAATTCTATATGGTAGTAAACTTGCTTTCCATTATATGTAAACAAAAAACAAACAAAAAAACTTTGGGTTCTGGACATTCAAGTTCTCACATCATTTCAAGATCTCCAAACAACAGAAGAAATAACCTAGC